AGGTATTGAATAGTCTTTAAAACTATTCGAATATATTGTGTAACTATCGAATATTTTTACTATTCGAATAGTTTTTGAATGACTATCGAATAGTTCCATAATTACTATTCGATATTTTGTAGTATCACATTTTAATACATGTAATAATTAATACTTATATTTAATAAAATATATCACCAAATCAGTATTTCCCCGTGGATAAGATGGGTAATAAAATAATACCCTCACACAAGATTTAACCTCCCTCTTACGCATTCCAAAAACGCCCACGTAAGAGATTCTATCACATTAACCAATCAAATACAGCAAAAAATATTTTAAGAATCTAACCAGAGATCGCTAAACCAGTTTTGCGGGCTATAAAAAGTCCATTTTCCCCCAAATTCGGGTGGTTCCTTTGCACTTGGTTCTCTTACAGTGGTTATGTACGATTTTTGAACATCCCTCTAGCGGATACTGGGACACCTTGCCAGTCTATCTATGCATCTCTACGGTTCTCTGGAATACTCAACCAAGATACAAAAAGTGAATGTGCGTGAGTTTATGTTTCATTCTTAGTTACAATTCTATATGAAATCTACATCATTTTTACCCTCTTTCGTAATTACTGAAAATATTATACATCTTATTTTCGGTCGAATACTTTTGGTGATATAAATATTTTAACACATATAAAATATTGGTGTTTATTTATTTCTTTCTATTTACATTTATATTCATATATATATATATAAGCATATTCTAAGGTAATTAATTTGGTTGAATTGTATCTATTACTTATTGAAGGGCCACAACCTGGCTGGACAGGGTAATAGTACAATAATATCATAATTAGAATTTTAGTTAATCTTAAGATTTTTTCAAAGTGTCTCTCCACTTATCGACCAGCTAGTCTGATCTCTGCCACAGTGCGGGCAATCGGAGTGTAGGACACTAACATAACTTATCGTGCATAAATCTATAGTACAGTCGCATCTAACCTAGGTCGTCCTACAGGTGATTGAAAAGAAGTAGGCCACATATCATAAGGTTCTTTGCATAAAGACAAAGATATTATTTGAGATCTCGCGTTGGTACATCCAGCTACGAAATACAAATAAATCAGAGTCGAAATATTATACTAAAAACTAATATTTTACTAATATATATTTATAACTAACATCATACTAAACAACTAAAAGTGTCTCTCCACTTATCGACCAGCTAGTCTGATCTATGCCACAGTGCCGGTGATCGGAGTGTAGGACACTAGTATAATCTATTGTGCAAAGAACTGAAATTGAGCTCGCATCTACCCTAGATCACCATTTGGACGACTGAAAAGACGTAGGCCACTTGGAAATAGTTTTGTTGCACAGGACAGTTATGTTGCTTAGAAGTTATTCATTTGCTTTATAAATTATTAAATAATAAATATATTAACGTAAAACATCATATACAAGGTTAAGAACTATACTACATAAATATACAAAAGGTTTTTGCAAAAAGACAGAGTTATAATAAACTTAGATTTCACCTTGGGTAGATTTAATATAGAATTGTACTAGAAAAGTAGTTACACGCGAGTTAATAATAATATAAACCGTATAAATATAATTGCGTACATTAATGCGTGAACGTATACATCGATAATTGTTACATCAACAACATCGTTCATCTCAAGAGAATATCAGGATAATCAGAGGTAAGTGGAACATTTGTTTACATAATAAGTCTATAATAGATCCTTTACTGAAGAATTTTTTAGTAATAAACAATTAGAATAGGATAAGTCATTGAGAATAAACTAAAATATTTTTATAAGAAACACGATACTTGTGACTAGCCGGAAATTAGTGCACGCGTTTCTGTGCAGGAGCTAGGTAGTGACCCTTCTTTGTAATTTCATCTTATTCATACATTAGACGTTTTTACACAACCATACATACCCCGAGATCCCTTTCTATTTCATTTTATTGTAGTCACTACCGGGTATCTATAGACACTTTTACTTTCCATTGGTACCCATCCTTTTTACACTACGCCTGCTACGATTATTATTTCCTTATTGGCCACCTGTGTTACATTTCTTTACATTTCTTCCCTTTCACACTCCGAGCCCCAAACACATTTAACAACATTCCTTTGCCACCCCGCCGGTCTTTCTTTTTGTTTATTACAAGACTACCCTACCCCCTACATACCTACACTCTTGTCTTCTTTTTGTTTATTACAATTTCCCATCACTAATTAAAATATTTTCAAGTAAAACTATTTAATGCCGTTGATTTTTTAATAAGTATTATCTAAATGCAACAAATTGGAGTGGTACCATTGTATAAGATCCAAAAATGATATAAATGTTGTTCTAGTCAAATTTTCAAACGTAGTTATTTCATCAATTATTCAAGAATTAGCTTATTATATAATTAATGACTTGGAATATATCACTATTGCTCTTAATGATTTGCTCTTAATTTACACAAATTCCACAAGATGTTGTTCTAGTTAATGATCGCACAAATACATATAGCCCAATTGTTCTAATAATAACAATAAAACAATTTTTGAATGATTTACAGAAATTTCCGAACTCGATTTACAAAAAACATGGAATAAAAGTGGAATTAAATAATGACTTAATGTACAAAATAAAATATATTATAAATAATATTTGTATAAAATTAGAAGATACTTTATATAAAAAAATGTATCGAATATTATTTTCGATATAACAGATGAGGTTCAAAAATATAAGAAAACCATAACGAAGGAACTATATTATACAAAAAATGTGAAATTTTCCGTTTTGGTAATTTGATTTGAACACTATGTTAGTAACTTTACCGGAGTGTACACTTGACATTGTATTTGGTACGCTTATAACTATTAAGCATGAAAATGTAAAACTAATTACAATTAAACTATAAATAAGAAATCCTGTACAATATTAATTATGATTATTCAAAAATGTAAGACACAAAAATTAATTATAAAAATTAAGGTCTGCAGGTAATTTTCAGGTATTGATCTCTAATGTAGCAGAATAGTTGTTTATAAAATATAAAAATATATTAAGCCAGTACATTAATTAAATATTATTATAATTTCATCAAAGGAATCATTTAATTGTAAGTCATTATTTCGTTATGGAAGTAAGTTGTAACAAAAATAAGAATATATTTGTTCCTATCTGTTATTATATTAAAATAAATATGTATAAAAGTTTCAGACTTTCCGGAATAATTTCAAAAGTTCTACATTCTGTATACATTTTCAGATTTGAATGCCCCCTCCGTTTATAGGGAAATGGTCCGATTAAAAAATAAAGTATGCCGAATGAAAGGTGTATATAAATAGTACTTGTCATGAAAAAATTGTATTGATCCATACAATTTTGAAAAAGTTATAGCAATTTAAAGTAAAAAATGTAAAATATAAAATCGAGAATTTTCACACAAAAATAGCATTCGGTAGCCATTTTCACCATGAAGACCAAATAAGGTCCGAAATGTTTTTTTTTCATAATAGAGTACATTACATTAGCTTTATTTTAAGTTATATATATATATAAAAGTGTCAGACTTTCCGGAACACTTTCAATAGTTAATTTATTGTGAAAAAGTTGTCATTTTAAATCCCCCCCTGTGGCCAGGTGAATGGTTAAATTAATAAAAAAATATATACCAAATGATAGGTAAAGACATCAAGCATCTATTAAAAAAAAAAAATCATATTGATTTGTTCATTTTTGAGAAAGTTATGGCAGTTTTCATTAAAAAAAATTTCGAAAATTAGCGATTTTTACATTTGTAATTTTTTTATTATATAAGCTAGTTAGATGTGTAAGTTGTTTTTTAAAAAAATGAAGTCGACAACCTCATAAGGTATAAATATAATAAAAAAAACGTTGCAAAAGCTTTAAAACGCTGATGAAATAAAGTGTTATGTGAAATTTTCCGTTTTGGTAATTTGATACAAATGAGTAGCTGTAACATAGGCACAATTCGAGCAAAATATTTGATAGGTCTAATTTAATTTTTCCTAATCTTAAAAAAAAATTCCATATAAAAATAAATGTAATTTTCATTATTTTTAGATGGCAATGGCAGAATTTGAAAAGCCACAACCCACCAGATTGCACCTACGAGTTGTAATAGGTTAAAAATATTCAACATTTTATTAAAATTTTTCATTTAAATAGGTTTAGAATTACCTATTAGAGCTAATGAAATGTAATAAAAACAATATTAAAATAATATTGTTGCACAACGCTAGCCACTCGATATCTATAATGATCTCTAAAATTATCTAATTAACAATGTGTCTGGTTAATAAAAAATACATTGAATACAGTTTCAAATACATTTATTTAGTCAAATTAATATTATTAATTAATACAAATGATTATTACTAGATTATTAGAGATTAATTACAGGTTAATTTATTTAAGTAAGTTTTTTAAGTTGACTTCAGCTCTTATGAATATTAATCTTCATCTTTAAGAGTAGAATAAAAATAATTTAGGTTATGAACAATCTTTTTATTTTTCACATTCATCGCTGGTATTTCTTTCCTTTCCTTTTTTTTTTTTTTTTATTCTTTTGACATTTTGGCGTTTTTGATGATTTAGGCATCTGAATAATGGGTAATACGTTTTGATCTTCAGTGTTAAGTTGGATTTTATCAAGTTTTTTTTCTTCGTGTAAACCTAATTCTAAGCTATCAGTTATCTCATCATTATCATCTATTTTTTTCTCATCTGTCGTCGTGTCCAGCTCATTTACACAGTCTCCTTCTTCCTCTGTGTGCCGTTTATTATTACTTTCAAATTTAAATATACCGATTGTTTCTTGTGGATTATTGGTAATCCTACCATCTATGTTAGTTTGGTTCTGTTCGTTAGCACTATGTTGGACTTTATCAAGTTCTATTTCATGGTGTAAGCTTAATTCTAAGCTATCAGTTATCTTGCCATAATTATCTGTATTTTTCTTTTTTATATTTATTTCATATCTTACGTGTTGTTTATCTTTATCTAGTTCATTGGTCTTAGCCGATGTATTTTTGATTATTATATCATTAGAAGTCTTTATTGATGCAGCTTTTTTTTCAAAAAAAGATATTTTATTCTTTATTCCTTAAAACATATTAATAATTTTTATCATTTTTTTTGTTTTTATTATATTATGGCCAAGTGGGTTAAATATAAATGCATAACCTTTAATTTTCTACTTATATTCAAACATTTAAATATTTTATATACTTGACGATTGGTATTGTCCTATCTGAAGTAATAAGTACTACATACTCTAAGAAGAATAATGAATTTATTGTTAACCCATTCATTAACATTTGTCCCACTTGACCTATGACTGTTGTTAGGTTGGGCGTATCCAATATAAACATTTTAGTTCATTAGATATTTTTACATTCCAATGAGTGTACAAGGGTTCTCTGGGTTTTGAATGTCAAAAGCTCATGATTTTTCAATAATTTTTAATCAATAATTTTCTTATAGAGTTGTAACTAGAGTTTTGTTCAGGAAGATATACTACACAGAATGTTCAGTGTGTAAGGAAACAGGTCAATTATTTAAACAATAGAAACTTGTTTTCTTACTTACTAACTAAACTGTGTATTATTTATATTGTATACTGCCCATAAATCAAATTATATACATAAAAAAAATATTCAATATCTCTTCCTAACGAAAAATAATTTTGTTGTAATATGGAATTATATTTGTTATGATGTCATATTCGTATGACACCTGTATGCCTTTTTGTCCGCAATTTTTAAACTCCACAAAATTCAGCACAATTAAATTTTGTAAAGCTGAACTCCTATTTGATTAAACTCGGATTTAGGGAGAACAAACGTTGTATTGAAATATTTGACAAATCATTGTTTTTCGTAGGAAAATTATAAAACGTATTGTTTAAATGATTTTGTAAAGGTCAATTTATCTAAATGTACCCTTGACTCACCCTTAAACTTCTTTTTTTTGACTTCCTTGTTTTCTGGATTTGCGTTAGTAAAAGTTGTTTCGTCCGCGGACTTATCGGTTGGACTAATTATTTCAATTGGTCGAGAAGTACGTTCTATCAATCTTTNATTGAATTGGTCAAAAAGTACGTTCTATCAATCTTTTTCGTTGACTAATTGTTTTGCATATATTGTTTTTTTCAGAAATTTTTATTAGCTCTTCAAATTTAAACACTATGTTAGTAACTTTACCGGAGTGTACACTTGACATTGTGTTTGGTACGTATGATTATTCAAAAATGTAAGACACAAAAATTAATTATAAAAATTAAGGTCTGCAGGTAATTTTCAGGTATTGATCTCTAATGTTTATAAACATTTGTGTTTATCCATAGTAGCAGAATAGTTGTTTATAAAATATAAAATTATATTAAGCCAGTATATTAATTAAATATTATTATAATTTCATCAAAGGAATCATTTAATTGTAAGTCATTATTTCGTTATGGAAGTAAGTTGTAACAAAAATAAGAATATATTTGTTCCTATCTGTTATTATATTAAAATAAATATGTATAAAAGTTTCAGACTTTCCGGAATAATTTCAAAAGTTCTACATTCTGTATACATTTTCAGATTTGAATGCCCCCTCCGTTTATAGGGAAATGGTCCGATTAAAAAATAAAGTATGCCGAATGAAAGGTGTATATAAATAGTACTTGTCATGAAAAAATTGTATTGATCCATACAATTTTGAAAAAGTTATAGCAATTTAAAGTAAAAAATGTAAAATATAAAATCGAGAATTTTCACACAAAAATAGCATTCGGTAGCCATTTTCACCATGAAGACCAAATAAGGTCCGAAATTGTTTTTTTTTCATAATAGAGTACATTACATTAGCTTTATTTTAAGTTATATATATATATATATATATAAAATTGTCAGGCTTTCCGGAACACTTTCAATAGTTAATTTATTGTGAAAAAGTTGTCATTTTAGATCCCCCCCTGTGGCCAGGTAAATGGTTAAATTAATAAAAAAATATATACCAAATGATAGGTAAAGACATCAAGCATCTATTAAAAAAAAAATCATATTGATTTGTTCATTTTTGAGAAAGTTATGGCAGTTTATAGTTATTTATAGTACATTGTTACTATGTACTATTTAAGATTTTAATTAATAAATCAAATGAAATGACATGTATTAAAATATAACAATAAGTTACATATATATTTTTTAATTTTTAAAAATATACTGTCGTAATATAATCGTTACTATTATGTATATGGGATAACAGTAAAATATCCTGTTTATGTATTCAACAATGCTATCTTTTTAGTATTTATTAGTATATTCTTTTTTCATTTCAAATAGTTACCACATCTATCCATAGAGAAATGTTCCTTTTAACTTGTTTCATTATACATTATATTCTTACAAGGACATGATCCTTCTCGAACAAAAATTTAGATAAACATTTAAGAGAAATAGTCATCAAACTCACACTTTTTAATACACTACAACGTAGCTGTATGCGGTTCGGTCATAAATCAATTAATAATTACTTTTAAAATCCTTCCTCACCAAAAGAAAATCTATATATTATTTTTGTCATCTTTGTTATTCTACTATTAATAGTTAAATACATTGTATTAATTTTCGTCTTACTTGTAAAAAAAAACATGTTAATGTTATATATGTACATGTCAAAATAAATTATGTTCTATTCATCTGTATTGATCTCTGTGTTTCATGCTTATTTATCAATAAACAATTATACTAAAAATTCGACAGTGACGATTTTTGGGGGTAAAAAAATATTATAAAAAGCCAGAGCAAACCTTTGCTCCTGGCTGTTCATTTCATGCTCTGTATTGGGCTGTTCTTTTCGTGGTCCGTATTGCGCTGTTCATTTCATGCTTCGCATTAAGTTGTGCGAACGTCGTAATCGTCATTGTCGAAATTTTATGTGTTAATTTGTGAACTAAAACTCTGATCTTGTGTATTTTATTTATCATTTTCACCGATATCACCACTAAGGATAATTATAAGAACCAGAGAATTTACCAGGTAAGATTTTTTTACATTGTTATTTTATGACCCTCGAATTACACCCCGAATCAAAAGTAACTCTCACCCATCATTTTTTAACAACACAATAATAATCATTCTAACCTTTTTTCCTTTAATTATAATAATTTTATTTTTTATTATATTTTTGAGTTACGACAATAATAAGTATGTTTGTATAAAAAACATATATTAATTGTATAAAAGAAATAGGAAATAATTAACAATGTGTAATAGTAATACCNTGTATAAAAGAAACAGGAAATAATTAACAATGTGTAATAGTAATACCTTAGACGTAAGATAATGATTAATGTGCAAGATATTATGAAACAAACGGTAGAACATTTTGAAATGCAGATCATTATTACTGAAAATGCAATAATGTGTAATAAATTACTATAAAACGATTAATAAAGAAATATTTGTAGCGTCGGTGATCACTTCATGTCTTTGAAAATATTATCCAACTTAATATAAATAGCCCAAAATAATAGGCATTCGGGCTCAAATATTACTCTGATGATGGTCAGAATACTCTTACTTGGTCAGTTGTGCTCAATCACTCCAAAAGGCATTATTGTTTTTTTTTTTTCAAATAATTTGTCTATATTTAAGTTTTATGGTATGATCCTATGGGAGGGGGTTATAAACTCCTTATTATCCCCCTTTTACAAAAAAAAAATTGATTGAAGTGTTAGTTATAAATATTTTCAGGGAGAATTTTTGCAACTTTTTAAGTAATATGTATATTAAAAGGAAGGGGTCTGCCCTTTCCAAAAAACAAATGAAATAACAATGACATGATAAATTGAGATAAAAAAATACTTTAAGATAATGGTTATAAAAGTATTATCCATGTGTGATGTTAAGTGTCGTGTACATTATATTTAAAATTAAAATTAAATAGATAATAAAAAGAAATTCTTATTCAAGCAAGAGCTCCATTGAATGAATCTGCGTCAACCGTTTTGCATATTAAAGTTATTACAGCAAATTTTTAATGGACGTATTTATTTTGATTTGTTTTGTCATTTAAGCCAAGCGGATTCCTTTGCTGTTTGGACATTCGTCATTTAATTTAACTATTAATTCTGTGAAAAATAAATACATTTATTTAATAAATNGTTAATTCTGTTAAAAATAAATACATTTATTTAATAAATCATAAATTACTGTAACAAAACTTCTTTTTTTCAACTTGAAAAAAATGTTATTGTTATTATACTTTACTTAAATTTACTGGTTGTTTTTAATGTGTTATTATGATTTTACGATTTCATGTAATTTTCTAACTAATGGAACAATTATGAAAATTATGTTCAAAAAAGCTATTGTAATTTGAAGCTCAAAGATAATATATGTATGTTCGAAAAGAACATTTATCGACTTAAGACCTAAATTTTTTACCGAGTACATCTTTAAAACTTTTAACTTTCAAAGACCCACAAAAATTTTGTTAAAATCCGCTGGTTTTTGACCAACTGCAAAAGTTTTTAGCAATCCAACTAACAAGCTCCAAAAATATTATTTTAAGAGAAATTGAATGACTAATAAGGTGGAACTAAATATTGAAAATATTGCTAATTAATTATTAATAGAAAAAAAAAGTTACAGTTTAGTCTCCTGATTTAAATCTTTTCCTGAAAATAAAGATATTAAAAACCTAAGACCCAGAGAGATACATAATATCGCCAGAAAGACAAGTATTTTTGGCCATCTGTAGGGGGTGACTTGATAGTCCACCCTTATACAATGATAGATAATAATACTTTGGTAATAACACTTAGGTGTGTAAACTGAATCAAGACAATTCGGTATGAGGTGTGCATAATGGACCAACAGGTCATGAGTGCATGGGCATTATGTCACCTCACTTATAACTAAAATTAGTCTCCTCATTATGTGGAAAAATTTTTTTTTTTTAATATCTTTAGTTTTTTCGTTTTTGTCACTTATTTTTTAATCTATACTATTTTCAGGAAAAATTATAGAACTAAATGTGAACAATAAAAAATGTTAAACCAGCCNACTAAATGTGTACAATAAAAAATGTTAAACCAGCCAGCCATTTGGGGTAATCGAACCCGCTACTTCCCTTAGATGCAACTCTGGTGTTCCAGAATCTGTTACTGGGAGGATTTTTTTTTCATACAATCTAAAATTAAAAAGCAGTATATATTACTTTTTTCTTTATTGTTATACAAAAATTATTTTTTGAAGGGGAAATATTAAATTTGCCACCCAAAAAATTTTACCATATATGCTTATGATTGTACCATATTAAATTAATGATAAGTTCAACCATCTAATAATATTTTAATAATTATCACTATTAAAAAAAAGTCAGATTTTACTGTTTCAAAACTTCTACTTTCTACGTTAATGAGTTGTAATTATTAAAATTAAATATTAAAATAAAATGAAAAGTTCACAATTTCTAAACATAGCCCTGTTCTCCATTATTGTAATAATTTAATATTTATAAATAGAACATCTTAAAATACTATGATAAATAAAATGATACGATAACACATAAAATGTCTTTAGTAAACAGGGTTGTAGTAATGTTTTAAACGTGTTTAAAACAACCAAAATTTCAAAATTCATATTCGTCTATAGAACGTTTTATCTATTTCTTTAAAAACCCTATTTGTATATCCTCTTTCATGTAATGTCATATAAGCTTCACGAATAATCATTCGTTTAATTTTAATCCTAGTTTTTGTGTCTATTTGATAATCAATGCCTGAATGAAGTAGCTAGCTGATAATTCTATATGTTTAAAAGTACTTTTTTAACTACAAAACATTATTCATTTTTCAGGATTTTTACGAAATTTAATTATTTGAATTTTAAAACATAAAATGACAGGTTTGGATTATACTAATTTGGGTCCTGATGCCCAATTTTTTACCCAAAGTGAAGATTTTTATTTTTGCATAAAATTTCTTTCATAACTAAAGATAATTTAATTATAAATTTCATTTTTATTTGATAAATCTTATCGTATTGATCTTAAACACTTACTTATTTCGTGTTCACAGTTATATTTATCCAGTACACATTTGTTTCCAAAGCTTAAGTTTATTTTATCGCCATCAGATCCACAAATTGGTTTGTAGTCAGTTGTGCAGACTATGTTACATTTGTTAAACGTAGACATCGTAGTTGACGGAAAAATTGTAGACGATGGAAAAATTGTAGACGATGGAAAAATTGTAGACGATGG